TCAATTGTTTATTTTCTGAAGCATTACCAAAAAGTATTTGATGATGTAGATTACATGACAACACTAATAAAACATTGTTGCAAATGCACTGTGGCTGTGAGCAGCTGTAATTATGGATTACTCAGACAATATCAATAAATAGATCACGTTTTCTTGCCATTGTTTGGATTGACGCGTGTGCCTGCTATACCTTATGACTCATAGGAATGCAAAGATTATCAACATTTTCAGTAAGGCAATGGAAGAGCTTTGAGTGTCATGTCACTTAAAAAAATAAAATTACATCAGTTACAGCCAAATGCCTAATGTTCTGTACAGGCATAGCTCTGACATTTCTGTCCCTTACTTTACTTGATCCCATCACTATCATGAGGGCCTTTCTGGCCAATAGGAATCGGTGTGAGAGGGGAGGTGCTATCAAGACCTGTCACTGCTTTGCCAGTTTAGAGTACTGGTATTTGGCCATAGAAGATGTTTACTTTAGAAAGCAGCCACAGCCTAAGTAAAAAAGCCTTTCCCTGCCAAAATGCTGCAGAGAGGGACACTTGCTCTGTGTGGAAGCAGTAGAATCAAGAAGCATATGTGGAGGATGGATATGGGGTTAATATTTCCTCTGGAGGTGCCATCACTATATATTTAATAGAACCACAACACTTATAATTGGGACTATCAGCCTGGGCTCACATATATGCTGTGCGGTATATCGCATGTGATTCGCACAGGAACCACTCTAATCACACCGCACCCACACCGAAAACATGCAGGACCCTTTTTTTGGTCTGCACTAGAATCTAATCGCATGGGTATTCACACCTATGTGACCCGATTCTGCACATCGCACTGTGTTTTGCAGAGCACTTTTTGGGGGGGGGGTGTTAACATAACAACACACCCGCAACAGTTTGCATGAACGGGGTGCAACTCTGATGCGGTGCGGAATTCGCACAGAAACGCTGCATATTCCCCACCGCATCAGTGTGAACCAGGGCTTAATGTACCTCCCGAGGTGTAAAAGAAAAAAGAATATCAATACATAAAAGCAGTATTTTATTGTTACCATATAAATGTATCACAAATAAGTCTTTTTTTTGTCTTTTATTATGTTTGTGATACATGTATATGGTAACAATAAAATACTGTTTTTATGTATTGATATTCTTTTTTGTGTTATACCTTGGGAGGTACATTTATAGTCCTAATTATAAGTGTTGTGGTTCTGTGTGGAAGCAGTAGTCTCTCTACAGAGGTCCAACATGCCCCTTGCTTTGTCAGAGTTAAAGCTCTCCAATCAGCAGGGAGCATGAGCTTTGCTGAATGGAGAGCTATAGGCCTTATTCAGCAGATGTATGTTGAACCTCTGCAGAGAGACTACTGCTTCCACACAGAGAGCAAATGTCCCTCTCTGCAGCATTTTGGCAGGAGAAAGGCTTTTTTTACTTAAGCTGTGGCTGCTTTCTAAAGTAAACAGCTTTTATGGCTTAATGCCAGTACTCTAAGCTGTCAAAGCAGTGACTGGTCTTGATAGCTCCTCCTGACTCATAGTATATATATATGTGTGTGTGTGTATATATATATATTTTTTTTTTAAATAACAAATTTGTCTTTACTTACCTGCTGTGTGCAGTGGCTTTGCACAGATCCTCCTTTTCTTTGGTCCCCTTCTGACTCTCCGGGCTCCTCCCTTCTGTCAGATTCCCCACAGCAACCAACTTGCTATGGGAGCACCCGCTGCTCCGTGTGCCCATTCACATACAAAGTCGCAGCTCGGCCCCGCCCTCTCTTCGCATGGCTCACTTGCTGTGATTGACAGCACCAGGAGCCAATGGCTCCCACTGCTGTCTCAGCCAATGAGAAGAGGGAGTCCTGGGATAGCTGAGACTCCAGTGCACATCGCTGGATCGAGAGGGGGCTCAGGTGAGTATAAGGGGGGGCTGGGGGCTGTGGGGGATGCTGCACACAGAAGGTTTTTTTACCTTCATGCATAGAATGTATGAAGGTAAAAAACTATCAGCCGTTACAACCACTTTGAGCATTTGGCTGTAGCTGATGTAACTTTTGTTAAGTGAGAGCACACTCTTTCCACTGCCTTACTGAAAATCTAGATAATCTTTGCATTCTTATGAGTCATAAGTGTTATTCTCTGCTGTTTGCTGACAGGGAACATGATTTGCTACTCAGATTTTGGCAGATTGATAGAAATGAAAAAAACACACAGACTTTACACACACTTTGTTTAATACGCCCGGAATGTAGTTAGCTAATTTATACTGAAAGTTTAAAGTTGGTCTTCCAGTGTTGCTCACCACCTCTTGACAAGTGCTGACAATAAATTGGAGGACAAATTCTCTTCCAGTCTGGGGGAAGTGCAAGCCAACCTAATAGTTAAAGTGGTTATAAAAATCCTTTTTTTTCCCTTTAAAATAACAATCATGTCTATACTTTCAGGCTCTGTGCAGTGGATTTGCATAGAGCAGCCCCGATCCTCCTCTTCTTGGATCCCCTGCAGTCACTTCTGGCCCCTCCCTCCTGCTGAGTGCCATCAGAGAAAGCAGCTTGCTATGGGAACACTCGTGCATGGCCACTCCTGAGTTTTCTCTGTTTGACTATGGACTCAGTCCTGCCCTCCCTCCCTACTCACTGGCTGTGATTGACAGCTGTGGGAGCCAAAGACGATCATGACGATACCACATATGTATATGTTAGTATCCGTATTATGGCCCAGAAACAATGGTAAAAATGTAGCATTTTTTTCCCTGTCTAAAACACACTGACTCTAAGGCTGGCCATACATTATACAATTATCTGGAGATTTTTGGTTTAGATTTACCAAAAACCATATAATAGGAGGACAAACCTAAACTACACTTTCAGTTGTATCCAATTAGGCAGGCCCTTGCACTACACAGTTGAAGGTAAATCTAAAGGAAATTGGGCAGAAAATTGGAAGATAATTGTATAATGTATGGCCAGCCTAACTGACACCGATACTAATTTTGTTTAATTCTACTCAAAATATGCTGACTGTGACCTTTGACCCCGACCTTAACACTAACCCTGGCAAATCTCATCTTGTTATTTTTTTCTTTATTTTTTTCTTTATCACACTTTTTTTTTAATTGCACTGCAGCTTCATCCCCCTCAAGGAGAGGAAGATAAAATGTATCTTCCTCTCCAACTCTCCAAAAGGAAGTAAACACGGGGCTCACCATGATATCCAATCAGAGGCTATTGCAGTAACTGGGAGTTCCAATAGTTAGTACGAGATCCAGGGCCAGGGCTGCTGTTAGAAACCACGGGGCCCCATACAGCCAACCGGAGAGGCCACCCCCCAAAACAAACACAGTCTACTATGCTTCAGTTATAAATGCACACAGTGAGTGATCAGGAAAGGCAGGAGCTGGGAAATGTGACATATTTACTGGACCCTTTCCCCAACTGTCCATACTGAAGGATCCTATTGTGTGCTTGCACCTGCTGGAGGGAAGCTGGCAGCACTGTGGGGGGCACAGCAGGGGCAACATATGATGCACAGGGAATTTGATGGGTACGGGGGGGGGGGGGGGGGCAGTTACTGGAACCAAATCCCTGTATTGCTCTCTCTGCAGCAGATAAAAGCCAGTGGGAGGGAGAGGAACTGTGAGCTGCTGCAGAGAAAGCCGTACAGGGGATCAGTTCCAGTAATTACACATATCACCCTCTCTGCCCACATCCGATTCACCCAGCTGCCTGGCCCCCCTGCTGGTCTAGGCCCGCACAGGAGGACTAGTGGTACCCCATTATCCACGGCCCTGCCCGGGGCTGTTGGTGCGAGCCCGGTCTCTGTGCTGGGAGTGTGCTGTGTGGTGTGAAATACACATATATGCGGCCCCACGATAAAAGACCCACTTATGTGAAGCCGCATATATGCGTAAGGTCGGTGGGGAGGGGTTAAAATGGAAGTCCAGGGGTAAACCCATCTAATTTTAAATCAGCTCCCCCCCTTCTAAATCCTATACTAATTGGTCTGTAGAGAAAAGATTTTTATACTTACCTATTCCCAGGATGCTCCGGTCTTGTCATTGATTGCATACTAGAGCCGGCTTCAGGGGAGAGGAGAGAGAGCAGTGACAATGGCTGCAATGCCTATGCAGTGACGTCACCCATGGAATTACTATGGGGCATCTGTTGTCTGCTGTCCCTCCTCTACCCTGGAGCCAGCACTGGTAGCTGATCACATGACTGGCGGGAGCACCCTGAGAATAGGTAAGTATAGACAGCTTTACAGGCTAGTTAATATAGGACATGTGGGTGGGAGCACATTGTTATGAATGTGACAGCTTCTGGCACAGGACTCTATCCCCACTCAATTTAGCTTTCAGCCAGGAAATCCCCCAGCCAAAAGCTAAATGTAATCAGAGGGGCTGGGAATTCCATATTTGGGAAATGACTTGAGTCACAGAGAAAGGTGGAACTAGTCCCTACCGCCACAGTTTCCTGTGGTTTGGGCAAAGCCTGATGGAGAACTGAGAGACATGCAGGCCATACATGGTTCGAATTCCCAACGATTCGAAAACGCCGTTTCGCTCGGTAATCCGATGGTGCCATCAATGATTTCTAAATTCGGCCAACCAAGTCATAAAGTTCACCCCATATAACAGGCGAAACTTCTGTTCCTTAAAGGTCACGGCTCATTTTTTGAAAGGGTCAGGGACTTTTTTAACAGCAAAAAGCCACATTTTTGCTACAATAGAGTTCAATGGAGAATCTGCTGAAATGCATGGTAGTGCGTTTTTGTTGCGTTTTGCATTTTTATTCTGCCCAGGAAAAAATAAATTCCACTTTAACCACCTCCCACCCGCCATATAGTAATATGACGGGCGCAAGGTGGTTCTCTCATTCTGGGAGGACGTCATATGACGTCCTCCCATTCTCACTGTACATGCGCTGCTCAGGGAGCATGCAGTGCGGCAATCGGCGGTGCACTGTGTCCCTTGGACACAGCGGATCACCGATCACAGAAAGAGCCGAAGATGTCGGCTCAGTCATGTGATCAGCTGTGTCCAATCACAGCTGATCACATGTAAACAGGGAAATGCCGGTTATCTGCATTTCTCTCCCACGAGCTGTCACGCTGACAGCTCGAGAGGAGAGCCGGTAATCAGCTTTCCACGGAGGGGACATCTACACTGATCATCAGGGCACTGATGATCAGTGTGCCCTGATGATCAGTGTAGCCCCAGCAGTGCCACCTGTCAGTGTCCATCAGTGCTTTGTGTCAGTGCTCATCAGTGCCTCGTGCTAGTGCCCATCAGTGCCACATAGTGCCACATATCAGTGCCTACCAGTGCACATCAATGCCACATGTCAGTGCCCATCTGAGCTGCCTTTCAGTGTCACCCATCAATGCCAGTCAGTGCCACCTATCAATGCCAATCAGTGCCACCTATCAGTGCTGCCAATCAGTGCCACCTATCAGTGCCAGTCAGTGCCGCCTATCAATGCACATCAGTGCCGCCTATCAGTGCCAGTCAGTGCTGCCTAACAGTGCCAGTCAGTGCTGCCTATCAGTGCCAGTCAGTGCCAGTCAGTGCCGCCTATCAGTGCCAGTCAGTGCCGCCTAACAGTGCCAGTCAGTGCCACCTAACAGTGCCAGTCAGTGCTGCCTATCAGTGCCAGTCAGTGCCGCCTATTAGTGCCAGTCAGTGCCGCCTATCAGTGCTGCCTATCAGTGCCATGTATCGGTGCCGCTTATCAGTACCATATATGCCTTTTAGTGCCCATCAGTGATGCCTGTCAATGCCCATCAGTGCCACCTACCAGTGCCTCCTCATCTGTGCCCATCAGTGCCACCTATCAGTGTCCATCAGTGCAGCCTATCAGTGCCCATCAGTGCAGCCTCATTATTGCACATCAGTGAAGGAGAAAAATCACTTATTTACAAAATTTTATAACAAAAACTAAGAAAAAACATTTTTTTTCAAAATTTTCAGTGGTTTTTGTTTGTTTAAGAAAAAATAAAAAACCCAGAGGTGATTAAATACCACCAAAATAAAGCTTTATCTGTCACAAAAAAAATGATAAAATTTCATATGGGTACAGTGTTGCATGACCGCGCAATTGTCATTCAAAGCTGGAAATTGGCCTGGGCAGGAAGGGGTATAAGTGCCCTGTAGGCTAGTGGTTAAAAAAAAATAAAAAAATTGCTGAATGCAAAATGAGGGTATTCGGTCCATTCTGGACACTCCTTCCTCGATGCACTGTGCCCACCACACAGACAGGACAAGTTTGGTAGTTTGAATGCAAAATGCAGGTAAAAACGCATCAAAAACGTGTGTAGAAAAACGCAAAACGAACTGCAAAAAGCACTGCAAAACATACAAAAAGCAAACTGCATGGGTGTGAACATAGCCTAATTCCCCATCAGGTCCACCTCAATTTGATTGACAGCCAGTGGCATTATGTGGATTCAAAAGCTGCTATTGGAGTGAATAGTCGCTATTGATCCGCCCACTGCTGTGCACTGTCAATCAACAGCAAGGCGGACCTGATGGGGAATTAGTCTCTCAGTGCCCAATCAGGCTGTGCCCACTGCACTACCACACTCCTTGGCCTGTCAAACTACCAAACTTGCCCTGCCTGTGTGGTGGGCACAGTGCATGGAGGAAGGAGTGTCCAGGATGGAGCGAATACCCGCACACTATAGCACGACATGTTTTCGTGTCTGGGAAATTCTTTTTATGTGCTTGTAAATGCCTGGATATTGACGCCCAGCAATTTTTATAACTCTCACCACCTGTGTGCATGAGGCTTAAGGCTATGTTCATACGTACAGTATATCATATATGATACTCGCTTTTAGATCCGTTTTTTTTTATTTGTAAAATTGTTCTTTTTTTCAATACTAGAATGCACAAGCATGTCCTCAAACTAAGGTTTTTGGATTTTGTGGAACGGATCTGATCTGAATGTTTATGCACCTGTGTGAATGTTTTCATTGAAAATGTTGCAGCTGCATTAAAATCTGTAAATAAAAAAATTATTGCTTTCTTGTGGCCATGTAAATGTAGCTGAACACTACAAAAAAAAATTGCACCCCTATACACACGCATAGATCCAACGGTCCCGTAAAGGAGAAATGTGTACTGTATAAAAAATACAAACATGCATACTCATTTCCATGTCCCACGTCAGTGCTAAGCCCCAGAACTGAATGATCACATGACTGCAGATCGCTCAGCTCTTGGGCTTCTTGGAGTGGAGAGTGGTGACTGTTAATCACCGCTTACCACTCTGCTTATCCAGTGCTCAGGGACCTGGAATGGGGAGGGAGTGGAGCAGCAAGCTTTCTGAGAGGAGGAGCAAGCTGTCAATCAAGCAGCTGAGTGGATCCTGACAATATTGTCAGGATCCTTCCAGAGCCTGGAGGCTGTGCCACCTCAGCTGACAGCAAGCCTTAGACCATTATCAGCTGACTCTGGGTTATAGGAAAGCAAAAGTAAGTACACTCCTTAGTGATTCCTACTTCTCCTTTAAAGCAGTATAAAACCCCAAACCAAAAATATTATTTATTGCAGCTTACCAATCATTAGATATATCGGCTACATTAGTTTGCTTTTCTTAGGCTTTTTTCCCTCTGTTTTCACCTGGTGATCTGGCTAGTAACACACCTCCTTTATTAGTGAGACCCCACTCTGGATGAAGGAGCACAGGAGGCACAGCAGACAGCAGCTGTCACGTACCTGCTTAGTGAGCCTGATGGGAAGAGGAAGGCCTCTCGTACAGCTCCAGCTTGGGGGTCAGTGATAGTGGAACAGTGACCGCAAAAGAACAGTGAGGTTTGGGTGCTTATGGTCACTCCAGTAGTCTGTGTGGGTAGTAGCTGACGCTTCACTGGGAGGATGCCAGGAAATGAAGCAGTTGACAGCAGGCAGATATCACAGCAGGACGGGCTGGTAGCGGATAGTCTGACATGGTGCTTGGCTGATGGCAGGCTGTGGATGCGCAGTGGGAAGCATATGCCAGATAAGAGGGTGAAGCAGAGTTCAGGGACAAGCTGAGGTCAGGGCAGGTAGCTGACAAGCGTGGTCAGGAGCAGGGGCGGACTGACAACTCATGGGGCCCCCGGGCAATAGGGGATCATGGGGCCCCTCGTGTCCTTGCCCAAACTCAAAAAAACTTATGAAAAAGGTACCAGGGGCATCTTATGGGGCCCCCTACTGACCCCGGGCCCTCGGACAGTGCCCAAGTTTCCAAATGGTCAGTCCGCCCCTGGTCAGGAGTAAGCCGGGTCAAGATCAGAGGTCAGGCACAAGAACCAGGATTAAACACATAGAACACTGTAGGCCAAACAGCAATGAGCCAGTGCTGCAGTCCTGTTTCAATAGGTCGGTTGGCACCAGTATTGATGATAGGCATGCGCCTGGGTATGCCTGTGTGCACGTGTATGCATTTGCTCACATCTGCTCATCCAGTTGCCGGTCTGTGCATGTGCACACATACTGTATGCGCCTGAAAACTCCATTTTGTACTTTGGACAAGCCTTCCCTGACAGCAGCATTGTCAGTCTGGGGAGGGGAGTGTTAGATGTACTAGCAGATTTAAATACACTAACCAACTGAAGCAAAAATTCCAGCTCACACTTTATAAGCAATTACAGCAGTTATTTTTCCTTTTACATGAATAAATAAAAGTTGATCATTTTAATCACCCCTATTATTAGTAAATGGTGTGTCTCATCCATGTAAACTGATACTTTCTGTGGGAGGCCTTTTTTTCTTTTGAAAAACAAACAGACTTGCTGGCTGGATCACCAAATGAAAATAGAAGAAAGCCTAAAACAGAAAACAAATGCACCCTTTTCATCTGAGATTTGGTAAGCTGCAATATAAGAAGGTTTGTTTTTGGGGTTAATACTACTTTAACCTGGATTCACACTGATGCGGTGCGGACTTTGCATCGGTTTCTGTTCGATTTCCGCACCACATCATAATCGCACCCTGTTCATACGAACTGCTGCGGGTGTGTATTTTAAATGAACGACACCCCAAAATCAGTTCACAAAACGCGGTGCAATGGGCAGAATTGGATCGCATGAGTGTGAACACCATGTGATCCGATTCTGGTGCGGACACAAAAAAGGGTCCTGCACTTTTCTGGTGTGGATGCGGTGTGATTTGAGGAATACAATATGTATGGCTCAAATTGCACAGCACATAAATCACATGTGATTTGCATAGGAATGCGGTGTGGTTCCTGTGCGAATCACATGCGATGTGCTGCACTGCATCAGTGTGAACCCAGGATTATTGTTTTTCATGCTCTTTTCCCCACAAAACAAAAACAACAGTGGCTTGAGCTGACTTGGTATGCCATTGCTCTTGACAAGGCGTGTGTCAGCCGGCGCGTGCTCCGAACATGTGTCCAGGCAGTGACTGTTCACATTGACATGTGGCGTCTCAATGACACTACCGTGCAGTGCCCAGCGCTGTCCGTCAGATGTCGCTGTGGATGACTCTCTGCACAGAGGCGGCGCTGCCTGTCACAGGAAGCGGATGTTTGCGGCTAGAGCCTTACTAGTGTGAGGAAATGAAAACACTGTTAGACACTCTGGCCCCTGAATATCTACTGCTCTGGTGGAGTCCAGCTGAGGTGAGAACAGCTGGAAGAGAGTGAAGCACTGCCGGAGTTGTTGACAGACGACACGGAGGAGATAGCCAGGCTGAGAAGGAGAGCCTTCGGAGTACATTCCCATGCTGTGTTCCTGAGAGCAGTCTACCTGTGTACACCTTACCATGGCCAGGACACCCCACCTGCTGCACCAACACTGCCACTGCTGTGCCCGCCGGAACACCTCTCCGGGCTTTTACAGCCTCCTCCTTACCCTGCTCACCCTGCACAGCGCCAACAGCCACACCGAGGGTGAGTGAGCTCTTCCCGCATCTCCTCCCCTCCGGGGGATACAGGGACTCTCAGCATACAAACCTACACTCCGGAGCTGGGCTCACTGAGCTGTACTAATAGGGGGAGCGGACAGCTACTTAGCCCCCAGGTGATGGGGGCAGACAGCCCCTTGGGGCCCAGGAGAGGAGGTTAGAGCGGTCCATTAGTGTCCAGGTGAGGGGGAAGGGGGTCTGGCCTCCTGGGGCCCAGGTGAGGGGGGAAGGGGGTCTGGCCTCCTGGGGCCCAGGTGAGGGGGAAGGGGGTCTGGCCTCCTGGGGCCCAGGTGAGGGGGAAGCGGGTCTGGCCTCCTGGGGCCCAGGTGAGGGGGAAGCGGGTCTGGCCTCCTGGGGCCCAGGTGAGGGGGAAGCGGGTCTGGCCTCCTGGGGCCCAGGTGAGGGGGAAGCGGGTCTGGCCTCCTGGGTCCCAGGTGAGGGGGAAGCGGGTCTGGCCTCCTGGGGCCCAGGTGAGGGGGAAAGGGGCCTGGCCTCCTGGGGCCCAGGTGAGGGGGAAGCGGGTCTGGCCTCCTGGGGCCCAGGTGAGGGGAAGCGGGTCTGGCCTCCTGGGGGGCCCGGCTAGGGGGTCAGGCCTCCTGGGGGGCCCTGGTGGGGGAAGGGGGTCTGGCCCCTGGGGGGCCGGCGAGGGGGCCTGGCCTCCTAGAGCCCAGGTGAGGGGGCCTGGCCTCCTAGGGGGGCTGATGGGGGAAGGGGGGCCCAGCGAGGGGGCCTGGCCTCCTAGGGCTCAGGTGAGTGGGGAAGGGGTGCTCA